GCCCACATCTGGCCCATGTGAAATCCATGCGGGCCAGATGTGGGCCGGATCTGGGCCGAAACGGTCTGCTGTCTGGGATAGTAGTGGTCGTGACCTCTGACTAGAAATAATGTTGCTTTATTCAAGTGTGTTCAAATCTATGTGGGCTAAATAAAAGTACTTTTCGAATGAGCAAGCATAGGAGCGGCCGTCTAAAGTATTAGTCAATTACCTCTGTCTAATAACCAAGACGTACGAGAATGTCTCTGAAAAATACGCTAATGACCGAAGCGATATCTTTGAGCGACATGAGCACCCGAATGAACGAGTACAATAATATTAAGGAATAATCAGATGTCTAGATAAATTATCCTATAAATTATCCTATAAATTATGTTATAATTTAACTTAAATTAAATAACTTTGCGTGCCAAAAAGACCAAACACACAGGAAACCTTCATCCACCATCAGATACCTCCGTTGGGACAATCGCGTGGACCTTACAGGATCATATCACTCCTGTCTTGAGTCTTTACATTGGCTCCCTGTCAGATTCTGTGTTGAGTTTAAAATTCTTACTTATAAAGTTTTGCATGGTTTGGCCCCTCATTGTCTCTGATCTTTTAACCCCCTACACACCAGCATGTGTAAAGCTGACCTTTTAATTGTTCCATTTACTTTTATTTTCAAAATCTATCAAAACTTTGGAATTATTTGCCTGCCGAGATTAGGCAAGCAGAACCCCTTAGTATTTTTACATTTTCCCTTAAAGATTATTTTTTGGGGTAGCTTTTACCTGATTATTTTGTAATTGTGATTATTTTGTAATTGTCTTATTCTTTATTTACTTGTTAAACTTTTGATAGTTTGCATTTTATTTTTGTCTGTATTTCACTTTTATTAATGCATTGTTTGTATAATTGTATTTCTTATTTGATCTTATTCTTGTGAAGCGCTTTGAGGTGTTCCTTTTAAAAGCGCTATAGAAAGTTTATTATAAATAAAACATTGATTTACCATTAAGATTAGCTGGATTAAATGAAGGTCAGATTTATAAAATCATGCCTTGCAAATTAAAATTTTATGTTGCATTAAAGAGAAAATTGAAAGGCAGTGACTTTACTTTAAAGGCACTGTGTTTGTATACATATATTGTGTAGTACATTGTGATTTTGTGTAGTTTGTCAAGTCAACTGAAAATATGTTGAAATGTTTGGAGGAAAAAATCTCTGGCATTTTTGCTGATGTGTTGTCCCATTAGTAATATGAGTTTTGTTTATTATTACAGTATAAGTGATTAAAATACTGTACATCACAGCCTACTCTTAAATGTTTTTAACAGGTGCACAAGCTGAATGTCCTGTTCAGCTCAACCCACAGAGAGTTGTTGTGAGATACGGCGGTTCTGTTGCAGCCAACTGTAACACTTCAGTCCCGCATAAAGGGATGGGATGGGAAGCCAGTCAGGGAGGAGTGCGCATGACCAAAAACCAGAGTCTGATCACATGGAGAGTGTCAGAACTGACAGAATGGGACATAAAGCCATTCTGCTACATAAACTATAAGGATGAGGATCAGTGTAAAGAAGAGCTCCCAGTCACTGTTTACAGTCAGTTTCTCTGTTACTGATATTTTTTTCTGTTCATTCTCAGAAATATCCAATAAATGTACATTCATCATTCATCACAGCAGATTTCAGAGTGTGTAAATCTTCCTCCACAGAGACTCCAGACAGTGTGTTCATCAGTGTGAGTCACAGCGGACCAATGATGGAGGGAGAGCCGTATGAGCTCCAGTGTGACGTTCACAATGTGGCTCCTGTTCAGGATCTCACTGTCAACTGGTACAAAGGACAGACTCTGCTGAATCAAACCACCTTCACTGAAGCTAGCGAGACTCCAGTGAATAAAATAGCCACACTCCTGATCCGTCCAGACAGAGCTGATGATGGAGCTCAATACAGGTGTGAAGCAGAGCTGGATCTGGGAGCAGAAGGACCTCAACCTCATCCTACAATTTCATCAAATCCTCTCAGCATGACTGTATATTGTACGTAAGATCTGTTAGCTTATATGATTAATCTTTTTAGAGTATGTTAACATATCCGAATCAAAAAGACTTTTAGTGGTTATAGCAGTGACACAGTGTGTCAAGTTGTGTAGTAATAGAGATCAGATGCAGCATGTGACTTTTTTTTACAGTGGGGAAAATATTTATTTGATCCCCTGCTGATTTTGTAAGTTTGCACACTTACAAAGAAATGAAGGGTCTGTAATTTTTATGGTAGGTTTATTTTAACGTATAGAGACAGAATACCAACCAAAAAATCCAGAAAAAAACCATTATATAAAGGTTAGAGATTGATTTGCATTTCAGTGAGTGAAATAAGTATTTGATCCCCAAGCAAAACAGGCAACAAAGGAGTGGCTCAAGAAGAAGCACATTAAGGTCATGGACTGACCTAGC